AAGCATTTCTTACATTTCTCCTGAGAGCCTCATACATCAAGGACTGTTTTACTAGTTCCACTTTAAAGCTGGGGAAGCAGGCTCAAAGAAGTTGACTTATTCACCCAAGGTCACATACTAGTAGTGTCAGGGCTGGGATTTGAACCCCTGTTTCCTGACACTTGATCCCATCAAGGGCTATTTCTTTGAAGCCTCCAGGCGGGCAGATGGGGGCAGATGCCAGATTACAGCGGTTAGGATATCAATTGGAAATAGAAAAAGAAGAAGAAGAAGAAGAAGAAGAAGAAGAAGAAGAAGAAGAAGAAGAAGAAGAAGAAGAAGAGGAAGCAAATAGGTTATGAAGCTTGGATCTGCTTCTGCAGCCCTGGGAAGTTAACTATCAAGACTGCACCTTGAGGAAAGGAATGTTTTAAAAGTCTTGACTGACAGCACTTCAAGGACGCCCGCCTGCCCGCCCCGATAGCACTCACATTCCTGGAGGGATTTTGGCTTCAGCCTTTCAGGAAACCAGTTTGGCAAAACAGATGAGAAGTAAGTGCCCTTCCCGAGCTCTTCCAGGAGAACATAAATAAGGATTAGACCTCTACAGCGGGTTATCCCTGTTACAGAGAAGCATTTTAATAGCAAAAAAAAAAAAAAAAAAAAAAAAAAATCAAAGACGATGACGACTTTAGGAGAAAACTTTCGCGTTCAAAGGGAGACAAATAAAATGTACGGTTCCTGCTCAAGACAAAATATGATGCGATTTTTCAAAGAATGTGTGTGTGTGGTGTGTGTGTGTGTGTGTGTGTGTGTGTGTGTGTGTGTGTGTGTGTGTTGGGGGTGCTTGCATATATGTGTGTGCTTGTGTGTGTGTTGGGGTGCATGCATATGTGTGTGTGCATGTGTGCTTGTGTGTGTGTGTGCATGTGTGCTTGTGTGTATGTGTGTGTGTGTGTGTGTGTGTGTATTGGGGGTGCTTGCATATATGTGTGTGTGCTTGTGTGTGTGCTGGGGTGCATGCATATGTGTGTGCATGAGTGCTTGTGTGTGTGTGTGTTGGGGGTGCATGCATATGTGTGTGTGCATGTGTGCTTGTGTGTGTGCATGTGTGCTTGTGTGTGTGTGTGTGTGTGTGTGTTGGGGGGTGCATGCATGTGTGTGCAGATGTACGTAGAGGCCTGAGAAAAACCTCAAGTATTGTTCTACAGGCACCCGACACCTTTCTTTCTTTTCTTTTCTTTTTCCTTTCCTTTTTCTCTCTTCTTGAGACAGGGTTTCTCACTTGCCTGGAGCTGTTAAACAGGCTAGTCTGGGCTGGCTACTTGAATCTCACACCATCTCCCCACACACCCCAGCACTAAGTTTACAGACGTGTGCGAAGATGCCCAACAATTTTTAAACCTGGGCTCTGGGGATCGAACCCGCGTCCTCATGTTCTCAAGGCAACACTTTACAGAATGGAGTTACCTCCTCAGCCCTCAGACAAGACTTCCGGAGAATTCCCTGTGGCATGGGGGGAAATCCCCAGGCTACACGGTTAAGAAAGGAGGGTAGAAATGTATGCAGTCTTAAAACAACTATGGCAACAAAGACACAGCTACACACCCTGTGAGTGGCTGGATTACAAATGATTACATTTCCTTTTAGATGTCTCTGCATTTTTAAGTGTTCTACAACATACATGGGTTACATTTTATGAGAAAAACACCAAAAGTTATAAAAGACACAGAAAAGCAAGAAAGATAAATTGTAAGTAAAGAAAAAAAAATGTTTAGCCTTTTATCTGGAGGCGAAAGGAGGGAGAGAGAGAGAGAGAGAGAGAGAGAGAGAGAGAGAGAGAGAGAGAGAGAGAGTTTCTTATTGTTGCTTAGCTTATTTTAATTTTGTTCAAATCAAAATAGATTGTGCTGTCTGTGAGGCAAAGAGGTCAAGCCACTTATGGGAAAAGGTTTCTCTGTTAATTGCAGGAGAAACAGGTCTGCAAAAAGGATCCCTAGTTACACACGGCAGTTCCACTCACTGGCGGCTCTTGTCATGGAAAAGAACACAATTAATTTCGACACTAGTGAGAGTGTTCTTGTTGGCATGACTAGTGGTCACGGATTTATGGTTTAGAAAATGATTGGCCTGAAACTACAGAGACCAGGGTCCCTGGACTTTCCCATGAACGGCTAGTATCTTGGGAAAATCAGCTCCCATTTCCTCCTCCGTTGAAAAGCACAGGGTTAAAATAGGTGATCTCAGAAGCATTTCAAGTCCTTCGAGCTTGACTACTTTTGTCCATATTAATTTCATGTTAATGAAAGCAGCCTGCAAGTGAATTTGTGTAAACTATTTTCAGCAAGACCACCCACCGAATCAGCTGTGCTGGAATGCTGTTACCCGCAACAGCATTCTAGGTGCCGTATTGAATTAAAACAGAGCCCTTCATCTGGCGTTTAACATTTTCAAAACTGGTTTGTAAACCGGCAGGAAAATTAGCTGTGGGATTTGCGAAAAGCTTAGCTGCAAAACCTCTTGGTTGTTTGTTTGTTTAAGTCAAAGGCCGAATGAAGTCCAGTCGGAGATGGGAGGTGGGGACACAGCTAAACACAAACACACCGCAAATAACAGCGTTCAGTCCGCCTCCCATTGGGTGAGCATCAGTATCTTCTTCTCTTTAGGATGTAAAGGCCTCGAAGAAGGAAAGCTGGGCATCTGGGAAGGGGCAGGAATCCAAATGAGAAAAGCGAAAGAATGGACACATAACACATTTCCCAATAAGGAATAAGATCTTCATTTAATAAACACAGACACTATTCTAAAGCGAGAGCCAGCAAACTTTTTTTTTTTAAGGGACAGGTTGTAAGGTACGCTTCGGAGGCCACAGAAACATCTCTATTCCAGCCATTCAGCTGTCTTCATGGCACCAAAGGAGCCATAGCTCCCACACAAACAAATGGGGAGTAGCTACACACCGATAAAACTTTATTGACAAATGATAGACAGTCTCTATGTCTACGTTTGTTGGAATGTACATTTTCTATTCCTATTGCACCTAGTTAATGTTAGGAGATGAGAGTGAACAGGAAAGGGAAGAAATAAATAGTAACTGGTGGAGAGATGGAGGTGGGAAGGGAAGAGGGGGTGGGGAGACAGGGGTGGTGGTGTGACAAGGGCAGGGATTCGAACCCAGGGAGGAATGAAAGCATTACAGAGTCCAGTCCAGAAGGGAAGACAGCAAGGAGAGCCCAGGGGAACACAGAGAAAGACAGCAAGGAGGAGAGGCAACACAGGAACCAGAAACCTACTTCCATCATGGCCGCCGGGCCACAGGAAACGCGCTAGGGGCAATTTATAAAGATGCTGATAACTAAGTTTGGTGGCTTAAAAAAGTGTTTGACTTGCAGCTTTACATCTATATTCTTAAAGACAAAAAAAAGCAACGTAAGGGAAACGGACTGAAGTGGGGGGGAGGAAATTAAAGAGATATTTAACATGAAGTGAAAACAGAGGACCAAACAAGGGTAGGAATGGGTTAACAACCCAGAGTCAAAAAGCATAAACTAAACCGAAGTGATAAATGAAAAGTAGAGCCCAGCCTCGAGACCCTCAGTCTTGCTGGGGACTTTGACACCAGCTAAGACACAACCTGGGGGGACACAGAAGGTGTTCCCATCCCCCAGCAGGCCGCTCACTCCAGGCAAGCAACCAAGTCGAAGCCTGCGTGGCACCGTTTATGCTTTTCTGTTGAAGGACGGTGGTGGGCACCTAACCACAGGGCAGTGTCTTTGCCTCTTGGTCATACCTCCGTGCTTCCTTTCAACGAAGACTCAGAAAGGACCTCCAGACCTGCGGTTCTCAGGACAAAGCAAGGCCTCGCTTCCTTCCGATTTCTTGAACCCTCATAACCTGAGATGTGGGTGTGAGAAAGGAGAAGAAGACTCAGAGCCCTTGGGTAGAATTCTAGGTGAGCCATCCTCATTAAACGAGGGCCACGCTCCCCCTACCCTCCCTCTATTTCTTACTCCCGTGTTCTAGCATTCCTTCAGAGGTAATCCAGCCGCCTCTTTTCAGTACGTACCTGGCTTTTTGGTAACACTCACATCCAGAAAGTTCTTCTTTATATTTCACCCAAATCCTTTCTGCTACAGTCAAAAACCTGTCTCCTCCGTGGAGATCCAGAACAGCTGGTTCCCATTCTCTTCATGACAACTCTTCTTAAAGATTCATAGCCTTATAAAGAACTTTCACACCAAACTCACCTAAGGCACACAGCTCCCTTTTTAGGTTTCTCCCCAATAACATTCTCTTTACAGATGTCAATAACCAACTGCCCCGTACATAGACATCTGACACACTTCGCGGACACGTCTACACTCCGGAAAGACAACTGGCCCTATTTAATAACCCCAGGGAAGAGGGCACGAGGGTGTGTGTGTGCTTTGTACTGGAATTATTAAGTATCTGCTTTGTCTGAAGACACTGCTGATTTGAAGTTCGTGGTGGAACAAAGGATGAAGCAGTGTGTGTGTCTGAATAGAAAGTTACGGGAATGGCCAATCTCTGGCCAACTGCCTACGGTTCTGCTCCCGATCAGCAGCTCCTTGCGAGAGCCAAGAGAGGCATCTTAGATTCTTAACAAATCGCACCCCGTGTCGGACTCTTGATGAAATTTGTAACTGTCTTCTCCCCATCACACATCTCAAACTCTTTCTTCTTGAAGGATTTTTTTTTTTTTTTTTAAATCTGGAACCATACAAAAGCTCTTCAGCTGACTTTTAGGAGAAAACAACATGTGTTCATGAACATCTGTGCCTTTCCTGAGCGATTTTTTTTTCTCATTATTGTCAAGAGAAAAGAAGTTTAGTGGAATGTCTCTCCATAGGGGCACAAGGCTATAATACTCCCTGTTGATTACATATAAAAGACACAAAATATTAGTTTATTAAAAGCAGCTTCCACCACTGCCGTACAAAGCAATCCTCCGATGGAACGGATTTATGAAGTAACGGCTGAAAGGTATGCAGATCACAGGATCCATGACAAATGTACTTTATTACACGGATCAGAGATTCCATATGGACTTGCAGTTACTGTACAATGATACACAACACCCGACTAAGACCACTTACAGGTTTTGCTGATATTGAAAACTATAAAGACACACCACGAGGGGTGAGAAAGTGTTTCATAAGATAGCATGATGCCAAGTCAATCCATTGCTTTAGGAAAAGCTAATACGTATGCGCAGAATATATTAGAAAGCTATGCCATTCTTTAAATTAAAATTCGAAAGTCTTCACCCCATCCATTGTTTAAAGCAGATGTTTATAGTGCTTTTCCATACTTTAATTGGGAGCTTAGCTGAATGAGTACCAGATTTAACATTAACGAAATTATGGAGATTTCAGATTTTGTTGTTTTTCACTATAAAATACTGAAGTCTATAATCGTGGAGGGCCAAAAAACTGGAGAGAGCAAAGTAAGTATAAAATATGTTAAGCACAACTTTCTACATGGTATTTCTAGGCTTGAAGGTAACAGCTTTCAACCTGGAAGTCCAATGTTTTAATCCTTCAGCTACATTCCAACCGAGCAGTCACCTCAGCTGGCCATTTCATCCCCCAGCATCCTAGATACAGGCTCCTCTATAGATGGGATCAGCCTGTCTCCACAATTTTCCATTCTAGATATTCATTCTCTACTGAGGACAGCATTGCCCTTGAATCCGAGCTTGCATGACTTTGAATGTTTCCTCTCCAAACCACTCACTTGAAATGAGGTACAGAAGTAGGAACTTCTTAGCATTGTTTTACAGAGGTATTTAGCAGAATAAGCATTCTTTGAACGTTTTGCTTTTACTATGATCCTATCAACTGAGTCTTATTTGATATCACATTGTATTTCCCCTCTGCTTTAAAGTAAATGAAAAATAAAACTTTTGAGAATCGGAGAGCATGCACATGTGCACATAGGGGCACATGCCTGTGGGCATGAGCCGAGTCCAGTGGAGGACACTGGGAATCTTGTTCCATCATCCCCTTGGGATGGGTCTGTCATTGAACATAGAGCTAGGCTGGCAGCAGCAAGCCCCAGCAACCAAGCCACCTCTGGACCTGCCTCCCATAGCACCAGGATTATCGGCAGAAGACCATGCATGGCTTTTTATGTAGGTGCTAAGGATTTGAACTCAGGTCTTCAGGCTTCACAGCAAATGTTCTTACCTGAGGAGCCATCCTGAGTAATGTAAATTTTATGGTTCCTTTTATCAATGGAACTGGACCTGAAATGACCTCTGTGAGCCCCGCCAGGTCCTGGGGATGCAGGGTAGATTTTGATGTGGTGTAAGTACTTGGCAGTCCCCTGTCCTCTGCAAACATATGCTTATAAAAGTGGTTTGTGTCTGCTGCAATGAAGATTTTATATGCTAGAAAAACACGGGAAAAAATATGTGTGGCTAGCACGAGTTTGAATCACTCTGGCAATTTTCCTTCCCTAGAAAGATTAGTCAACAGCTTAGTATTTGCATTACATCTGGGCACTGCCTCCATCTGGCAATCCCTGGAGGTCTTTGGATGTTCTTTTCCAGTGTTTCTCTACCCTAAGCCTCTCATCCTCCTTTGCTTTCTCCTCCAGGACATTTCGAGTAGTTGAATCTAATCATTTATAGATTGTTAATTTCTCTTCTCCAACTCCTAACACTCATATCGTCCACACATGGATATAAATTCTGAAGACACCCAGTTTTTACTTCTTTTTGTTTGTTTTTGTTTTGTTTTTCAAGACAGGGTTTCTCTGTGTAATTTTGGTGCCTGTCCTGGATCTCGCTCTGTAGACCAGGCTGGCCTCGAACTCACAGAGATCCACCTGCCTCTGCCTCCTGAGTGCTGGGATTAAAGGCGTGCACCACCACTGCCCGGCTGACATTCAGTTTCTTTACAGTCACTGTGTATTTTAAGTAATATGTGCACTAATGAGGAAAAATGTGTATCTGCACTCATGTGACAGCAATCCAACAAAATATGGCCGACCTTCCGCCATGGTGGTCTCCACCTATAATCCCAGGACTCAGGAGACAGAGGCATTATTGCAAGTTTGAGGCCAGCTAGATTTTTGAGTACCAGAGTAGCCAGGGCTACATTACAAGATCTTGTCTCAAAAACAAACAAACAAAACCCCTGCTGAATGATCCACAAGAGCGTCCGCTGCCAGTCACGCTGCTTCTACTTAGCTGTCTGGTCACTAATAACCTTTGCCTGCACCTGCGTTTGGACCACTTGGCATATTCCTAATGAAGTGTTACTTAAAGAAATCCAGCCTGGCTTCCGCTTGGAGATTTGAGAAGGGTTCTATAAATCATTTTGTTACTAAAGCGTGTTTGTTATCTAACCCGAGCCTGCTTCAACCTGATCCCATCAGGGATTAAACCAAGTTACAAGTACTCTACCCCAAGATCACCGTTTCTCTCTGAGAAGATTTTTGGGCTCTTGAAAGGCAGAATCTCTGTTAGAATGCATTTTTGGAACAGCTGTCCCCGGGCCTCAGTTTCCTCGAGTATAGATAACATTAGCAGCATAATCATAGGTTTCTGAATTAGATGAGCTAATAATTTTAAATGTATATTTTTATTAGCCCTGTGTATATTTAATCTCTTTAAGAGCACATAGTGTCCATTGTGTTTCTAACAAGTCTCAGTCTAATCCAAGCAGTTTGTTGCTTGGCTTGAGCGCCCCCTGGTGGTTTTACAGCAACTCTCCCGAACGCATCAAAGACAAATTTGTAAAGAAAAGTTATTTACATAAAAGATTTAAAGAACTATTCTGTGCTTCTCCAAGCATTTGCCTTTAGAAATAAAGTGACAAAGAACTGATCACACCCCTGAACTGATTTTGGAATTCTATTCTAGATTTCCTGCCAAAATCTGAGATAGACGCGTCCTGCAGCTACATAATCCAGAACTCGAGGTTGTGATCAACTCCCAAGTGTAGAAGGTACTAATTTCTCCACAGCAGCTGCTTTTTCCAGAAGCCATGAGGCCATGACATACTAGCACATGACTCCCAAGCATTTTGGGTAGTGATTTTGGTAAACTGAGGCTGGGGGAAGAGGACGGTCTCAACTGGCGTTTTTTTCAACTGCTTTCATATCACTTCTTTTAAAGATGAGGTAACCTGTGCCCATTCATTTGCATAGGTTGGCCCCAGGTCACAAGCCTTCTGATGAGTGGCCTGGTCACTGACCTTGGCCTACACATGGGAACCTTCTTATGTCTCCCTAGTTCCAGGGCACATGCTCTTGGGCCTGGCTTTTTATGTGGGTGCTGGGAATCCAAACTGGGGTTCTTAATGCTTTTAGTAAACCTTGGCCAATGGAGCCATCCCCCAGTCTCTAACTTGTAAGTTAAAACTGGAGTGACCAAGTGTCACAACCCACTGTAGGTGAACAACCTAACATCACGGAAAGGCCCTGGATGGGAGCTCTCCTCAAATTTGAGGTTGTGAGCTACAGGAAAAATATGTATAGATTTCTGGAAGTGATGTCTTCAACTTCAGCAAGCCAAGGATGCTGCTGAAACTAAATGAAAACCAAGGGTGTAACATTAACCTAGACAGTGCCCGTGATGAAAGAGGGCAAATAACTCAGTGTCAGGAGCTAATGTCTGCAGCATTTTATCTCATGCACTTATGTATCTATTCCCCCCCCCCACACACACACACACATTGTCACAACTACAGCAACAAGGAACGCTTGAACACTCTCCACCTTCCAATCCCTTTTCTTTCCACCTGTCAATACTGGGATCACACCCAGAGCTTTGCACACGCTGGAGATGAGTGTTCTACTACTGAGCTACATCCACAGCCTGTTCTTGCCACCTTCAGAAAAATGTATTTTATTTTGAAATGATTCACTAACTTTCTGATGAACTATTAAGTTGAGGAGGACCTATTATACTAATTTTAAACATCGCCGGGCGGTGGTGGTGCACCCCTTTAAATCCCAGCACTCGGGAGGCAGAGCCAGGCGGATCTCTGTGAGTTCGAGGCCAGCCTGGGCTACAGAGTGAGATCCAGGAAAGGCGCAAAGCTACACAGAGAAACCCTGTCTCAAAAAAACAAAAAACAAAAAACAAAAAAATTGAAACATCCAGCATTACCTTGTAGCTTACTTGCTTAGCGCTTGGTTAATTCTAGGCCCGGTGGTATACTCGGCAGTCTCGGGGCCAAGTAATCCTAATCTAACACCCTCTTCTTTTTCCCCACATGAAGTGAATGTTTTTCCTGAGCAGGTGCACAGCTCTCAGCATTCCTAATGTTCGCCAAGTTCCAGGTTTTACTCAACACACAGTGGTGAATCTGACTGGAATGAAATTTCAGATGGAATGCTAAATTTAGATTAAATTTAAATGATTGAAATTAACAAAGTATGCTGAGACAGATTCAACTCATCTTATTGGCACGTAAGGAGTCAAGAGTAGTCATGCTAATTAATGCCAGCTCTCTTCATAAAACAATACTAACACTAAGCTAGTTAATACTTATATTTATATATGGACCATTTCCCAAATGGATGGATGAATATATATCATACACCCAGAAATATTGATTCTGAATAACATACTCTGAGAAATGCTGCACTTCATTGTTTTAAGCTACATGATATAAAACTGAACTACACCGCCTGGTGGTAGTGTTACACACCTTTAATCCCAGCACTTGGGAAGCAGAGGCAGGTAGATCCCTGCCTGAGTTCAAGGCCAGCCTGGTCTAGACATAGTTCTAGGCCAGCCCAGGCTACACAGAGAAACCCTGTCTCATAAAACCAAAACAAGAAAAAAACAAAAAACAAAACCTGAAGAACATTTGTTTTCAGAAAAAAAACCCATGATGTTTTAATTACCTAAAAAGCACAGTAATCTGTACATGTTATAGTCCACCTAAATTAAAGACGTCTGCGCTTCTCAGTAACTAGAAACCTTAAAGATACATAAAGGAAAATGTCAAACTGTAAGTGCTACACACAAACTACCTTTTATTATGAATTACAAAAATAGAAACTCCAAGTAAGTACTACTTGTAAGATCCACTGACGTCCTTTTCCTCAAGACTTCTTTTTTAGTTATTATTGTGTGGGGGAGCTTGTGCACATGGTGCAGGTGCCAGTGGGGGCCAGAAGAGGGTGGATCCCCTGGAGCTGGTTGAGCCCCCACTTAACACAGAGCAGGAGTCCTCTGCAAGGGTGCTATGTGGTCTTAACTGCTGAGCCATTTCTTCAGCCCCTTGATACCCTGTTTTAAAATATGACACTATACTAGCTTTCTGTCCACATTTTGTTTGTAGAAGCATGTTTAATCTGAGGCATTGATTATAATTGCCATTTTGTAAAACCAAATAATTATAACCACAGTAATGCTCACAAGATTGCGATGTCTGATAATACTCACATATCAGGCAGCATCCAATTTTCTTTCATCACGGAAGGTAATTTATTCAAGTTCCCAAAACAAATCAATTATTCTGGATTTGAATTACAGATATAAGACCAAACTAAAATATGAAAACAAATCGCTTCCATTTAGTGAGAGCTGAAATCAGTGAAGACATTCCTAACAACTGAACTTCTTTCCCATGAACACTTTCCAGTTTTTCTTTTTTTTTTTTTTTTTTTGTGATTTTTTGAGACAAGGTTTCTCTGTGTAACAGTCCAGGCTGTCCTGGCACCTGCTTTGCAGACCAGGCTGGCCTCGAACTCACGGAGCTCTGCCTGTCTGCCTCCTGCGGGCTGGGATTAAAGGCACGTGCACCACCACTTTCCAGTTCTCAAGGGTCTACCAGGCCAGGCCCTTCGCTGCCTTGGCTCTGCTTTTCCCCCGTTTTTTCTCTCTCTTTGCCTTCAGTCTTTTCCTCTGCCTCTGGTTCATCCACACTGGGTACTGTCCATGCTGGTCTAGAAGGGTCTTCTTGTTTCTCTTCAGTTCAGTCTCCATTTTTGTGTCTTCTAAATGAAAAACAATAATAAAATGAAAAGCTATTAACTTTCATACATGAAAAACAACCCCGTGAAAGCACATGAATGAAGAAGGAACATCAGAACTACAGGTAGTCTGATGTCAAAAAAGGGAAAACATTCTTTTATAGCATCCCTTGACTCCTTACAGCAAAGTCAAACACAATCAACCCCTGCTGCTGCACATTCCTGAGTCCACTTGTGCGTGCATGTACGTAGAGGGGCCCATGGAGGAAAGGAGTGTGGGAGTGTGTGCTGTCAGGGCCCCTGGAGCTGAAGTCACAGTCAGTTGTGAACGCCTGACATAGGAGCTGGGAACTGAACTCCGCAAGAGCTCCAAACACCGAGCTATCTCTTCAGCCCTGAAAGTTACATTTTAAGCAAGCAAGTGAGAGAACCTGACTTGTATTTTAAAAAGATCAAGATGCTGACAGAGAAGACAGGAGGAAGAGCAGAGAGGGAACTAAAAAGCTAGTACCAAGGAATGGGCAAGAACTGCTGGCCACGCAGTTTGGGTATAACGAGTAATGCTGTGGATAATCCTTTTGTACACTGTAAAGATTTGTCACTCGAATTGGTTTAATAAAGCACTGACTGGCCAGTAGGAAAGCAGGAAGTATAGGCAGGTGATCAAACTAAGGATGATGGGAAGGGCGGAGTCAGGAGTTGCCAGCCAGACGCAGATGGAGCAAGAAATGAAAAGTGCCATGCTAATAAAGGTATTGCCATGTGCAGAGTGTAAATAAGAAATATGGGCTAACTTAAAATGCAAGAGCTAGTCAGTAATAAGCCCAAGCTATCGGCTGATCATTTATAATTCATATAAGCCTGTGTGTTTATTTGGGACTGGGCAGTTGGGATAGGAAACATCTGATTACAAAGGGATGCTTTGGTTTAGACATGGGATAAAGGAATGAGAGATGACTGCATTTCTTGGTCTAAGAAACTGGGTAGGCAGCTGCAAGAGGGACATGAAGAGAAGCATAGACTTGAGTGTAGATGAGTCAAGCTTTACTGATTGGTATATAACTAAATAGGAAGACTCCCCTCACCTCCACTGCTATTCCCACTTCTGAAATATTACAAAAATGAGACACATTTTCCAGGCAGAAAATGAGAGGATTCTTCTCTACAATCTCAATGGTTCCTCCACCACCTGGGCTTCTAACCATTTCAATGCCTCATTTAAATGTCAACAACTCACCAAGCATTTGAGAAAACAGAGGAGCATGGAAGGAAACAAGTATGAAAGCAAGGAGGTGAGAAGTTAAAAAAAATAAACAATGCTCAAACTGCTGTTCAAATTTCGGAAGCAAACAATACCCCCAATGAGATAAAAATAAATCCCCAATAAGAACAGGAAGCGGTAAGAAAAGAAATAGTCAAAGTTAAAAATATAGCATTTCGCCGGGCGGTGGTGGCGCACGCCTTTAATCCCAGCACTTGGGAGGCAGAGGTAGGCGGATCTTTGTGAGTTCAAGGCCAGCCTGGTCTAGATGAGCGAGATCCAGGAAAGGTGTAAAGCTGCACAGAGAAACCCTGTCTCGAAAAACCTAAAAAAAAAAAAAAAAAAAAAAAATAGCATTTCGGAAGCAGGAAAATGTAACAGCATACTAAGATCCTCCAAGAGGAAATTAAGGAAGTAGAGAGAACACACCAGAGAGAAGAGTAAAGGATCACTCAAGACTCAGGAGTGTATGGACACCTGATGCCCAAATTTATAAAGAATGCTTAGACCCCATACAGACAAAATATAAAAACACACAAGACTTAAATTGTGATAAAATATTTCATACATATGGTGGCAATAATAAGATCCTGGAAAATAAGTCCATACATGGCTAGGAGGAATATAAAATGGTTTGGCTGGTGTAGAAAGTAAGAATTACTGTGACCTAGCATTCTATTTGTAACTTCATACTCCAAAGCACTGAAAACAGGTATTTAAAAAAACTTGGACACTAAGGTTTACTAGATCATAGAAGCATAAAAGTGACCCAGATGCCAACTAACAACAGGGAAATAAAATGTGGTATACACAACAAACAGTCTTTAAAAGGAAGTACTAATATATGTTAAAACATGAAATTAAAAGGTATGATATTACGTTAGAAAAGATCACACATTCTATGACTCCATTTACATGCCATAGATTTCCTCAAAGAGGAAATCCACAGAGACAGAAGATCCTTACGGCTGTCAGTCTTGGGGCTGGAAGAAGAGACAGAGAAACCACTAACTGGGTGCAGTGCTTCCTTTTAGAGGGAGGAGAATGTTTTGGAACCAGAGGTGTGGTAGTGAAACATCACGATTGTACTCAAATGCCACCACCACCACACACACAGAAACGGTCACCGTCACGTCAGATTACAACAGTGAAAAGAGCTGATGAGCAGAGTGACCCTGTGACGAAAGGACACTGATGGCCAGAGCACGTGCTTCGATCTCCCAAGGGCAGCCGAAACCAAGGGACTGACAGAAACAGAGCAAAGAGGCTTTCCTCTGGGAGAATGGGGTGCTGACATCTAGGGTAAGAAGTGGTAAGAACACTGTTCTCCTTGGCCCTGAGACATAATTACAGGTCTGTCTTTAAGAGTGGCCATTGTGAGTGCTTCATTTAGCCTTTTCTTCACTGAGACCGGCATTATATGTAGCCTCCAAATTTAAACCATGACTAATAATACACAGAGGTCTCTAAAATACATCCACAAAAAGTAGGATTCTGTGATTTTCCAGGGTACTAATACAAGTTCTTAGGATTCACAGAATGAGAATGGGGTCTTTCGAGGAATAAAGTAAGAGCTGCTTTCTCACCTGCCCAGATCCTGACCGACCTTCCAAGCTCTAAGCTTGTTCTTACAGTACTGTCAGTTCCTGGGGCATTCAGGCTGCTACACCATTGCTGAGGATCCACTAAATAACCCAGACATCCTTATTCCCAAACACTGACTTTAAAACAGTTCAGCACGGAATCTCCAATAGAAATATAAGCTTTCAAAGAATAAAGATGTGAACATAACAGGTATGTTAGATGTATATAAAGTGAGGACATGACTACTCCAAGGTATGCTTGAAAATAAATTTTTTATTGTAGATATGAGGCGGAGTACAGCCAGAAGAATTTGGAAAAATCCAGAGCAGGGAGAGAAACAAAGTAGTAGATTAAATATGGCCAGTAGACTGAACCAGGACATGAGAGGAAAGGGGTAGGGGTGGGGTGAGGGGCGTAGAGCGAGAGAAGAACAGAAAGAGAGGGGGAGCAGGTGGAGAGAGAGAGAGAGAGAGAGAGAGAGAGAGAGAGAGAGAGAGAGAGAGAGAGAGAGAGAGAGAGAGAATGGTTGAAATGGCAGGATTATACAGGAATGAGAAGCTGAGAAGCTGGGGATAGGGAAACCCTTGAGGTGAAGTTTAAGCGAGAGGGAGGGATGAGGAGAGCTGAGAGGAGTCAGGATGCCAGCCAACACTTTGTTATCTAATAGGCACCACAGTCAGCCATTTGTCCCCAGTTTCTTTTAGATCTGACAGATACTAGGGACAAGAAGAGATGGAAAGAAGATAGCTATTAAAAAAAAAAAAGGTCCTAAGAGAAAGCGGATTCACTTTCTCATTATGTAAATAAAGCACGTGCGCTCACCCTTTTCATCGTCCACCGTACACTGCATTTTCCCCTGGCACTGTTTGGGGACCACCACAGTTGCTATGTCCTCAACATCCTTCATCAGAGCATCACCGTCAACTCTGAGAATACTTTTAAGTCTGCTGAGCTCCCGTGGGGCATTCTTCTTTCTCTTCTCTGCCCGCATCTTCCGTTTCCACTTACTCCGTAAGCTTTTAGCCATTCTTTACCTGGCGGCCAACAAAAACAAACAAAGAAGAAAGTTTACTATTTACACCCTTGAATATCAAGGAAATGGCCGGGCAGCGATCTCCTCGGTATCGGAACAAATGGAAAATAACCTACGATGTCTTCTATAAGTGAGGATCAACACAGAGCACACGGTGACTAAAAAATACACGACTGCCAAGCCCCGATAGGCCAGTGACAAATTATAAATCAATCCATTCTCAAAGCTGCTTAGTAGATACCAAAGTTAATAAACGGCCTTAAAACTACCTACTGCTCTTCTACCTTGCTCCAGCTCCCGGTCTTAACTCCTTCACAAAGTGTTTTGTGTGAACTTTTAAAAGTTAGAGCATAGCTTTCTGCCTTTTAAAGGATTCTTCCTTGTTGTTGTTTTTCGAGACAGGGTTTCTCTTGCTAGGTCTCAAACTCACAGAGATCCGCCTGCCTCTGCCTCCCGGGTGCTGGGATTAAGGATATGGGCCGCCGCCACCGCCCGGGCTTTTTAAAAATTCTTTAATGACATGGAGTATTCAGGCATTCGGAGTTCACCCGGCTACTCCCGCGCCTCCTTCCACTCTGACCTCACCCTCTCCAGAGGAGCCTGCATAAAGCCCACACCACGCCCACGTTCGTACCCTGGCATTCACGGTGCTGCGCCTGGAAATGGCTCTCCTCAAGGCTTGCTCTTCTCAGGCCCTCAGACTCTTGTGTCACCCCCCGCCCTCCTACGTGCAGTTTCCACCCGGGGCTACCGTCACCCTCGGCGGACTGCAGGGTTAAGCGGCCCTTACTCGCCGCTGGCTCCCCCGGGGACCGCGGCTCTGCAGACAGGGCAGGCTGCGTGCACCGGGGGATGGCTCGGTTGAGCCTCCTCTGACCGCCAGCAATCGCCGGTGGTCGAACGAGACCCGCACGTGGAGCGTGGCGGCAACCCACGGGGCGAGCCCCAGCCGGCCAGCCACAACCCCGGGGAGGGGGCAAGCGAGCTGGCGCCGCCGTGACGATCCCGAGGCTCGCCCTCCCGAACCCCGCACCGCCAGGCCGAGGCCAGGGGCCGCAGCGGAGCTAGGGGCCGAGGCCAGTCCTCCACGCCGCAGAACTACGCCCGAGACCCACGCGACTCACCTGAGAAACACGACTGACCGCGCACTCCACGCGTACGACGCCCACCGGAAGCCCCCGCACTTCCGCCTTCCGGTCGGAGCCGGCGCGCAGCATGCCGGGAATCCCGGGAGGCGTGGTCTTCGGAAGCCCGGCCACCCGAAGAGCTGTGATGGTCTCCTGCCGAGGAGAGGTTGTGTTCGGGAAAAAGCAGAAGGGGTTTCCTGTCGGGAGTGACGAGTTATAAATCAAGCCATTCTCAAAGCCGCGGACCGGGCCAAGCCCGGCGGCTGGGGGCCCTGCCTGGGACAACCTCACGGACACGGGATACCCAAGGGAATTGCTCAGCGTCCACCATCCTAGACTAGCCCTTAATGAGGTTTTTTTAGTTGCAGCCTAGAAAAGTTCCCATTCCGCTGAGGATCCCAGGATGTGCGCGGATGTGGGAGTATACCAAAGTGTACGACTTAAATATGTCAAATTTACTGCGTGCCAATTATAATTCAAAGCTGTCACCCGACGCAGAAAATAATCCTCCCCTATCCCGAAGAATTTAAAGGGTAAAACGATCTATGTCTTTATCCAGTGTTGACCTGTCCAAACCATTACACTCCTGAGAGAAAACCAAAACTAGGATGACTGAGGTTACACAAATGTATGGTTTTGCAAATGCATCTAATTGCACAGGCCATGGGGATATACAGGTCTCTTAACATTTGTGAAAGATAGGGGTGGATAGTGTCCTAGGGCCTAGACAGTACCTCATTCATTGATCTCCAGTAGGTGATTAGGCAACACATGTCAACTACCCAGTACTATCTGTAAGCAGTGTTTTATACAGATTACAGCACACAGCAAAACCACAGAACTGTCTTTAAGGGTTTATTTGAAGGGGGGGGGGGGAGTATGAGTGTTTTGTCTGATATAAATATGTGTCTTAGTTAGGGTTTCCTATTTGCTGTGAGGAGACACCATGACCATGACAACTCTTATAAAGAACACATATCATTGTGGTGGCAGCTTACAGTTTCAGAGGTTCAGTCTGTTACCACCATGACAGGGAGCATGGTGGTGTGCAGGCAGACATGGTGCTGGAGCTGAGAGTGCTACATCTTGCAGGCAACAGGAACTTGACTGACTGTCACACTGAGTGAAGCTTGAGAATAGACTTCAAAGCCCACCCCCACAGTGACACACTTCCTCCAACAAGACCACATCTATTCCAACAAAGCCACACCTCCTAATAGTGCCATTCCCCTTGGGGGCCATTTTCTTTCAAACCACCACAGTGTATATATGTACCACATGTGTGCCGAGTGTCAGGGGAGGCCAGAAGAGGACATCTCATCCCCTAGAACTGGAGTGACAGTTGGCGGTGAGTCACCGTGTGGGTGCTGGGAACCAAACTGAACCTGGGTCTTCTGCAAGAGTAGCAGGTGCTCTTAACCATGGAACCATGTCACCAGCCCCCCAAAGTTATCTTTAATGATGGCCTATGAAATTCCTCTTTGGTTGCTAGTAGAATTGTGTCTTCTTATAGAATCCATGCCCAGTATAGCAATTTTTGAATTTTTTTAACCACAGGCAAAACACACGTGACATTAAAAACAAAAAGAAGTAAGTGCACACTGGATTTAAAAAAGCTTCCTTAAAGATATTCTAAATTGATGGCTTCTTGATTCATGTACCAAAAGGCTGTGACTTTTGAACAGAAACGTGGCAAAAGAAAACAACCTATTGTGGTATTGATACATTCCACAGTTCAGCACTGCATTACAACGCTCTTTTAAAAACTGAATTGGGGCCGGGCGGGTGGTGGCGCACGCCTTTAATCCCAGCACTCAGGAGGCAGAGACAGGCAGATCTCTGTGAGTTCGAGGCCAGCCTGGTCTCCAAAGCGAGTTCCAGGAAAGGCGCAAAGCTACACAGAGAAACCCTGTCTCGAAAAACCAAAAAAAAAAAAAAAACCTGAATTGGGAACTAAATAATTGAAAGCAAGTAGTTCTAGGGGTCAAATAGCATGGAGTTTTGTTGTTGTTGTTGTTTGTCTTGTTTTAATATTAATTCCCTCAAACATTCAAGCGTGAACTCTAGAATGGGCACTTTCTGAAAGGTGGAAGAATCGGGCTTGAGAGAGGTCAGACCCAAGAGGATCTGAGTTCGATCCTTAGAACCCACATTTAAAAAAAAAAAAATGTCCAGCGTTAGGCAGACAGGCACTGGGATCCCTTGGGCTCCACAGCCAGCCTCTTTGACACCCGAGGAACGACAGCTACATGTGCAGGCACCTGTATATGGGCATGCACACAGACACACAGAAATTCAAAAGAGCTGGAGCAGGCTTTTGGAACTACATGCATAGTTAGTGTTGCTGAACACTTGGCAGGAAAACAACTGATTTCTCACCTAAAAGGCGCGTGACACAATGGCCCTTGGCAGTGAGTGGGGCTCCCACAGCCAGGTCTTTGCGTGGGATTCCTGAGTCCCTGGGAACAGAAAGCGTTCTGCACTTGAGAGGGTGACTTCCAGTTCCCACAACGGTTGAGCTAGCAGGACTGTGTACTACGGGGATAAAGGTTAAAGGCCTGGATCTGACTGCCAACGTCACAGGAACTCCATCAAATGGACTAAAACCCGGTCTGAGTTCTGCAGAGAACTGATGACCGATAACATGGTCCACTGCATCTCTGTTTTTTTGTTGTTTGTTTTTCTGAGATGGGGTTTCTCTGTGTAACAGTTCTGGCTGTCCTGGATCTCGCTCTGTAGACCAGGCTGGCCTCGAACTCACAGAGATCTGACTGCCTCTGCCTCCCGAGTGCTGGGATTAAAGGCGTGCGCCACCACTGCCTGGCTCCACGGCACCTCTTTGTCCACAGGATATTTAGCAATCAAAAGCTTTCTGATGCTTCCGTTTTCTCCGCTCCCTCCTACTTCTGTCCTATGCACCGTGAGTTGCCTGTTTCTCTATGTCCTACTAATTCTATTTTCTTGGTTATTGAGCACACAGGTTCACCTGTATGTGGTATAAAAAAAATTAAGTTTCCATGTTTCTATACTCATCGATTCTTTTGTGGGTATATTCCCTGCCTAACTCTTATTGCTTGACATAGAAGGACACATACAGTGACGTGAATACCACTGCAACAGTAAAAACCAAAAATAAAAAAGGTCTAACCATATAAAATTTGTTGCTATTAAGTATAAACACCATTCACTTATGGAATAGATTTTACACCAGTGATTTCCATTTATAAACTAGGCATTTGAAGAGCTGAGCAGTGGGGCTGGAGAAATGGCTCAAGGATTATGAAGAGCACGTGCTACTCTTTCAGAGAACCCCAGTGCATTTTCCACGTCTCGACCACCTGAAAGTCCAGCTCCAGGGGATACAACACCTCCCTCTGGCCTCTGCTGACACCATGCCTTCACAAAGTATACATATGTGCATGCAAAACACTTATTTCCAAAAAAGCTAAATCTACTCATTCTATTATTTTTGAATTACAGATGAGCAACTAGTTATGGCTAATTTAGGACTAAAAAAAATGAATAAATAAGCCAGGGGTGGTAGTATATGCCTGTATTCCCAGAATGCAGGAAGCCGGCATAGCAAGACCATGAGTTAGAAGCCTCAATTTACAAAAACAGTATAAAACAAGTTTAATATCTCATGTCTGAGACTCTAAGTCAAGGATGTGGAAATGAAATAACACAGAGAATAGTAAGATTCTAAAGCGGAGAAGAATACAGAATGCCAAGAAAGGTCACAAATGATTTTAATACTCAGGTGTAGTTCAAACGTTTTACATAATAAAACGGTCTCCGTAGACTGTTCAATTACTTTTTATTAACTGCCTCCAGAAACCTCAGCAGGTGCAGGAACAGATTGATGATGTCCAAGTAGAGACTGATGGCAGCTAGCACATACTCTTCAGGAGAGAGTCTGTGCATCAGCGAGTGGGTATCATAGATGATGAATCCACAGAAAAGAAGGGCGCCCAAAGAAGACAAGAGCAGCTCCAAGGTTTCACTAGAGAAGAAAACCTATAAGCAAGGAATTAAAGACACATGTTCGCAATTAGGGTCGTGTTAGGCCTACTCCAGTTCCTTTCCATAGCATCTACTGCTACCTGCTTCTGTGACCATGGTGCACAACACTGATGTATGGATGTTACAGGCGGAAAGACGGAAGACAGAGAGAGCTCAGGTCACATTTGTTTCACAGACCTATGTTTGGCTAAGCAGATAGCTTTCTTTCAATTAGGTTAGCTACTTGACTTTGAATAGTAGCATTCTAAACATAAACTGTTATTTATTTATGTATGTATGTATGTATGTATGTATGTATGTGTATGTATGTATGTATGTATGTATGTATGTATGTATGTATGTGTAATTCTGATGCCTGTCCTGGATCTCACTCTGTAGACCAGGCTGGCCTGGAACGCACAGAGATCCGCCTGGCTCTACCTCCCAAGTGCTGGGATTAAAGGCGTGCGCCACCGCCCACCACCCAGCCATAAACTGTTTTTAAATGTCACTTTTTTTTTTCTTTTTTCTTTTTGGTTTTTCGAGACAGGGTTTCTCTGTGTAACAGCCCTGGCTGTCCTGAAACTCACTCTGTAGACCAGGCTGGCCTCGAACTCACAGAGATCCACCTGCCTCTGCCTCCCGAGCGCTGGGACTAAAGGTGTGTGCCACCACGCTCTGCTAAAATGTTACTTTTTACAAACTAAGTTTTTATGACATCTACTTACTTATTGAGACTGTGCACACCACACCACGGCAAGCACACAAGAATGTGGAGGTCAGAGGACAACTTGCCAGAGTCGGTCCCCGCTTCCACGCTGTGGGGTTCGGGGATTGAATTCAGGCCATCAGGCTTATGGGCAACTCCCTTTACTCTCATCAGGCCCTCCCTCTCAGAATTACATGTGCTGCTGGGAGGGTGGCAGCTATATATAATAAGGGCCGATGTGTGTGCAGTTTCACTTA